CAAAGAGCCTTCTCAGTCCTAAATCCTCAAAGAAGTTTGAGTTGTATCAATTCATGGCTTTACTTTGTTTATCTTCATATGTGCCACATCTTCTAAAAGGAAAACTCCAAATATAGTCATGTGGCTCTTCCTAGGGAAGTTATAGGCATTTAGCTGAATCTGAATACATATCCCCATATTCCAGAAATTGGAAATCACATGTATGTCTTCTTTATGGTGGGGTCTTCAGAGCAGCCACCATCTCTGATTGCTCAGGGCTTGGCATGAGGAGGTGCTCAATATAGTCATGGAGAAGAACTCATGGACTGAACATCCTGGTGAACCAGAGGGATGGTGCAGAGATTTAAGATTGCAACAGGAACCCCCAAGCCAATGTAAGCAAAACATCTGTTTCATGACTATGGGAATATTTTGTAAAATCCAAGTACCAGCCTGAAGAAAGCCTGGAACTGCAAACTAGGAGCTTCAAGACACTATATCTTTTGATCTCTAGTTCTCTCCTTCCTCAGCAGACCAACTCTCACTCTGAGTACAAGATGGGCAGAGGATGACTGCCCCAGAGTTCCCAGGTCACTGGCAAAACTGCCCCTCTTCCTGGGTCCCATGCCAAATTTCCAGGGAAGGAATTTGATTGGCTAGCCTGGGTCAAGTGGTCAGTCTTGATCCAAGGTGATTGGATCATTTTGAACAAATATGGCAGCTGGAGACCACAAGGGTAGATCATGGGACAGTCAAGGCCATCATTGTTAGGACAGTTAATGGCTGAGGCTGCTCTCTCCTGCATATCCCAAGACTCCCTGGTAGACCACAGAATTGGCCACCTCCTACTTCCTGCCATTCTCGAGGAGGGGAGGCAGGCACCCTACTGAGTCCAGAGCTCTCTCTGACATTGCCATGCCCAGGCCAGGATCTAGATGGGCATCCAAGACCAGCCTGTGTGCCGTGAAGGAGCTCAAAGTGAGCAGGCCATCCCTGAGAACGAGGAGCAGGGGTGGCAGGAAAGTTTGGATGATCTGAAGATGGCCTGGTTCTCCGTGAACTCTGGGAGGAGAAGATGGTGTTTGGTAATGGGGACTGCATGTGAAGGGCTGGAGGGCCAGTCCACAGCAGACTGGGCCCCCACTGGGCAAAGCTGCAGGGTGGAGGTCACGGGGGGAGGGCCAGGGTCACACTGCACCTTGCTTTGGCGCAGCTCCCACCTCTGAGGGTCCGCAGACTGGTGCTTCACATGTTCTGGTTGTTCCGAGGGTTCCACAAGTTTATTTTGTGTTATATTATTAATTTAAATCACTTTTGTAGAACATTATAGAAATTTTAAAAAGCACAAAGAAGAAAACAAAAGTCACTCATAAACTAAGCATTGTAGTCATCTTTGGATATATCCTTTTTTAAAATAAATTTGGGGGGAGGGGGCAAAAATTGGATAATTCGAAATAAACTCTCTGGAAACCTGCCTTTCTCACCCCAAAACAAGGTGCTCTTTCTCGTGTTCTTACGTGGCCTTTTTGTAACATTTCCACGAGTTTGGATGGAGGATGGAGAAAAGTCTCAGCAGCCCCTCTGTTGGTTTCTCTTCTCCTCTGATAAAATTATAGAATGTCTTCTCCACGCTGCCCTCATCCCACCCCCACAGCTGTCCCGAGGGCAGCAGGCCCCACTCCTGCATGTTCCCAGCACCCCGAGGGCCAGTGCCATGCTGCATGGACTCGCTGCGGCCACCCTGGCTGGGGATGCTCTGCGGGACACACGCACAGCCCGGACGACCTGGCAGGCTTCCTGCACCCCCGCTGCCCTCTGTAGGAGCTGCCTGCCTGCCCCACCGCTGCTTCGCCATCCCTCCTCTCCTTCCCTTCTCTGTTTTGCAGGCTCTCACCCAGAGTGGCAGAAGGAGCCCTTCTGGAGCTGACCCACCCCCGACGACCATCAGGTAACATCAACAGCCACAGTAACAACATCCATGAGTGGAGTTCTCCCTCTTAACCAGGCTGACGAAAAGCACTCTTGCAGCGATTACGGCTGAGTTTTGATGCAACTCTACAAGCCAGAGGGGATTGCCCCCATTTTATACTTGAGGAAACTGAGCACAAACAAGAGCAGTACTTAATAGTATTGAGTAGTAGTACTGAGCAGTAGTACTCAGCTGGTAGAAGGCAGACTGGAGATTTGAACTCAGGACTGGTCTCAGCCCAGTTTCCTCCACTGTACTGTACCCCATGCTGCCCCTGGAAATAAAAAGGTAAGAAGGCTTCAGGGTGTCAGTAGAATATCTTGCGGTGACTGAAGGCTGAAAGAGGTCCTCTAAACCAGTGGTCCTTAGCTGAGGGCCAGGGCTGGGCTGCCAGTATAAGAATCTCCTTTAGCAGAGTTTGTTAAAAGTATAGACTCAGGACTTCCTGCAACCCAGTGAGAGATGTACCAGTGTCATCCTCATTATAAAAGATAGGGGCACACAGAGGTTGAGTGTACTTAAAGTCATATAGCTCAAAAGTGGTAAAGTGGACTGTGATCAGAGGTTGTAACTCCTAGGCTCTGTTGTCTTCACTGGGACCCTCCATAGTGGGGCTACCTTTCTCCCCATTCAACCGTAGGTTGAACTTCTTTCTTGCTCGCCCTGGCCATGGCTAGTATGGCTGCAGAATGGGACAAGGCTCCCAATTGCATCCTTGAAGGCAAAGTTAAAGATTTTATGATTAAATACTTAATATTTCATGTTGGAAGTTTGGTGGCCTCAGATTTCTCCTCTGAGCAGGACATACAACAGAGGGTTGGACACAGATGGCTGGAGTTGAAGCCAGGCCAGGAAACATCGCTGTGTCTTTGGAAACAAAAGTCACCTTCCTTCCTCCAGGAGCGAGGGTGGGCGAGAGGAAGAGCTTATAGAGAGCCTTTTCAAGCCCCTAGTTTGTTCATGGGTTATTTTGTTTTTGTCATTTTAGGGTGAGGCAACTCCAAGGTCATACTCTCTTTCTGTGCCTGTCACCCTACCCCTGTCCTCCTAGGGTGCCCTTGAGCCGCAAAACTGCTGTCCACGTGGACCGGGGCTGACATCGCACGTCCATCTGCCAGGACCCCTGCGTCCAAATTCCGAGACATGGCGACCAACGGCAGCAAGGTGGCTGATGGGCAGATCTCCACCGAGGTCAGCGAGGCCCCTGTGGCCAATGACAAGCCCAAAACCTTGGTGGTCAAGGTGCAGAAGAAGGCAGCGGACCTCCCCGACCGGGACACGTGGAAGGGCCGCTTCGACTTCCTCATGTCCTGTGTGGGCTATGCCATCGGCCTGGGCAACGTCTGGAGGTTCCCCTATCTCTGCGGGAAAAATGGTGGGGGTAGGTGCTGGCCTGGAGACCTCCTGGCTGGGTCTGGACCCTGCAAAAAGGATCCTGCTTAGGCATTTTTCTGGGGCAACTGTAGGAGAAAAGCTCCCCTAAAGACTCCAGAGGGAGCACCAGGCCCCATTTCTTGTTTCTTATCCCTTTATCAAAAGATTCCCGAAGGACGATTGTCCTCTGTTAATGATACCAAGAAGTTCATCTACTCACCTGCAAAAAATGGGATGTATTTCACGTAAGGCTGTCCTTGGGCCTGCAGTTGGCTGTGGGTCCTACTTTTGAGGCGGGTATAGAGAAATCCTGGATGGGGACCCAGAACCATGGCAATCCCTCTACCAGGGCAGGTCTTGAAAGTCTTGGGGCCACGAGCTCTGTCTTCTTTCCCCTGCAGGAGCCTTCCTGATCCCCTACTTCCTGACGCTCATCTTTGCGGGGGTCCCACTCTTCCTGCTGGAGTGCTCCCTGGGCCAGTACACCTCCATCGGGGGGCTGGGGGTATGGAAGCTGGCTCCTATGTTCAAGGGTAAGTCTGCAGAGCGGAGCCCTGGGTGGTGGTGCCCCTGCCCACACACACCCCTGCCCCTCTGGAGAGAGGGAGCTGTCTACCCAGACCAGGGTTGACATCACATATCCGTCCATCAGGTGCATGTCTGAGCAGAATGAGGGCTGTTGCAAGGGGCCAGGTGGCAGATGACAGTGCTGGTCAGAAACTAGGGAGGTGGAGGTGGAGAAGCCCAATCCAGAATCTCCCGCACATCAGCCTGTTCTGTCCTGTTAGCCCATTCATTTCCCCTGCGAGAGCTGGGTGTGACTTGCTTTGCCTCGTGCTCAGTGCCTGACAGGCACCCAGGTAGATATGTGGTGAGTCATGCTTACTGACTGAGGGCCTGGGCCCCACCTCGTCTGGCAAGCTGAGACCCCAGCCCTGCCTGCCACCAGTCTGCACTGGGCCCCAGACATGAGTCCTGGCCCCTTGGCTTGCCAGATGTACATGACCTTCAGCAAGTCACTGCCTCTCTCTTAACCTCAGTGTCCTCAGTAATGCCTCTCTCTGAGATCGATAAGATTGTAGAGGTCATGGAACATGCCAGGACAGTTCATGTTAAGTCTGTATTAAATGGATGTGTATCTGTGTTCTGCTCCCAGGCGTGGGCCTTGCGGCTGCTGTGCTGTCATTCTGGCTGAATATCTACTACATCGTCATCATCTCCTGGGCCATCTACTACCTGTACAATTCCTTCACCACGGTGAGTGGTCCCTTTGGCCACCCCCTCCAGCAGAAGCCACACCCAGAGCCCACCCTCCACCTGCCGTGGCCACCACTCTGCTGACAAGGTCATTCCTCCAGGAGTGGGGAACTTGGTTTGTCTTTTGTGGGCCTTGGTCTCCCCACAACAGCCATAGCCTCACGAATTTAGCATCTCCTGTGAGCCAGACACTCCTTGTAGGCTCACATCCAATCCTCATGACACTCCTCTAAAGTGCGTATTGTTAGTCCATTTTATATGGACACAGACAGCCTGGGTTCAAATCCTGACTCTACTATATACCAGCTGTGCAACTTCAGAAAAGAGACTTAACCTCTCTGAGTCTCAGTGCCCTCATTTACAAAATGGAAATAAAATTAGAATCTGCCCTAGTTCCTCAAAAAGTTAAACATAGAATTACCATATGATCCAGCAATTCTGCTTCTGAGTAGATACCTAAAGAATGAAAAGTAGGCTCTCAAAGAGATATTTGTACACTTCTGTTCACAGCAGCACTATTTACAGTAGCCAAAAGGTGGAAGCAAGCCAAGTGTTCATTGATAAATGAATTGGTAAGCAAAATGTGGTCTATACATACAATGGAATGTAATTCAGCCTTTAAAAGGAAGGAAATTCTGGCGCATGCTTCAACATGGACGAACCTTGAGGATATTATGTCAAGTGAAATAAACCAGTCACAAAAATACAATCCTGTATGATCTTGCTTATATGAGTTTCCTAGAGTAGTCAAATTTATAGACACAGAAAGTAGAATGATGGTTGCCAGGGGTTGTGAGTAGGGGGATGAGGAGCTGTTGTTTAGTGGGTGGAGTTGCAGTTTTGCGAAGTGAAAAAAGTTCTGGAGCTGGATGCTGACAATGTTAGGCAACACATTTCTCACAATGTATTCCCATTGTTAAGTGACACATGACTATATTTGCAGAGGTGTGGCAGGGCTAAGGGAGCTACATTATGGGTATACTTAATGCTTCTAAACTGTACACTCACCAACAGTTAAGATGGTAAATGTCATGTATAATTTTATCACAATTAAAAAATGAAAGAAAACAAAAAGTGAAACCCACCTCATAGGGTTCTCGTGAGGATTAAGGAGCAGATATGTGTAAGGAACTTAGAACTGCGCCTGGCAGAGAACAAGCTCTGTAAGTGTTTGCTGGTGTCATCGCAGTGAGAGTTAGATGGGCAAGATCTCTTGCCCAAGGTCACATGGTGGGGAAGCAGCCCCGGCTGCAGCTTGGAAGGCTCTTTTCATAGTGAACGGGTTGAGGTTCAAATCTCAGCCCTGGCACTTAGTAGCTGTGTATTCTCAAGCAAGTCACTGTCCCTCTCTGATCTGTCAAATGGGGATCATAATGCTACTTACCTCCCAGAGCTGCTGGGAAGGGGAGGTGTGAGGAGGCTTGGGGACCATGAGGGTGGGCAGGGTGCACTGGGACCACTCATGCCAGCCCCTGGGAGCCCAGCGGGATGTGTCCTCATGACTGTGTCCTTGCAGACACTGCCGTGGAAACAGTGCGACAACCCCTGGAACACGGACCGCTGCTTCTCCAACTACAGCATGGTCAACACCACCAACATGACCAGCGCTGTGGTAGAGTTCTGGGAGTGAGTATGGGGCCGCCAGGGGATGGCAGGGACGGGGAATGTCAGCCAGGGGCTATGGTCATGTGTCACATGACATCTTGGTCATCAGCGGACCACATATACAATGATGGTCCCATAAGATTATAATACCATATTTTACTTTACCTTTTCTACATCTAGACATGTCTAGTACAGAAATGCATTGTGTTACAGTTGCCTACAATATTCAGTACAGTCATGTGCTGTATAGCTTTGTGGCCTAGCAGCAATAGGCCACACCATATGGTGTAGGAGTATAGCAGGCTACACCATCTAGATTTGTGTAAGTACACGCTATAATATGCACACAACAACAAAATTGCCTAACAACACATTTCTCAGAACATATCCCTGTTGTTAAGTGACACATGACTATACTTGCAGAGTTGTGGCAGGGCAAGGGCTAAGGCAGCCACAAGGGATGCCGAAAGCCTTTTCTCCCCAGAAAGAGTTGGACCATAGATGGAGCCATAAGACACACAAACTCTGACCTTTGATAGCGAAATCCAGCTACCCACAAAGCCACGGTCTAGCAGGGACAATACGTTCCCCAACATCTCTGCCTCTTATCTCCTGCCAGCGCCTCCCGGTGATCGAACTCAGCTAGAAGCCAGAGGGCAGGGGACCAGATAATGTAGCCATAGTTGTCAGCATCCTGGGGCCTGGCACAGAGTGGTCAAGGGGGAGAGTGGATCAGAGAGGCAAATGGAGGGGAATAACCAGCATAGCCAATTAGAATCACGTGGAGAGGTCGACCATATCCTGATTCATCCTGAAAACCGGCCCGATCTACTTACGAACCTAGAGTCACTCGGAATAAACACGCACACACACTCCGGCCATAGTGAAGGCCATGCTGATTGTATCTTCAGGGGAGTACCTTGTAGAGATGTGTGTTGGGGGACACTGATGTGACACAGTGAAGTGCTGGGGCCCAAATCTCTCTGGCATGAAGGAAGCATCCATGCTGGACAGCTCTGAAGGGTCCAGGAGCAGTCTAGAAGGTCCCAGAGTACCTTGGATAAGCTCCCAGGAGGAACTGTTCTCAGGCAGTGTCAGAATCAGTGTTGCCTGATCTCTTTATGGTGCAATGTCCGTGGTTACACTGTTTCCTTACAAATAATCAAATTCTGCTCCCGTGGGTTCTGCTTTCCGGCAGCTCCCACATGCCGCTCTCAGGCACGTTTGAAGTTTTCATTCAACCATTTATTCAGTAAACACTTCTTGAGCTCCTACTGTGTGCCAACTGATGACAGGCACAGACGTGCAGACAGGCAATGGCACCACCAGGTGGCGAATGCAGAGAGGACGGAAGCACAGGCGGCTGGGCTGCGGGGACCTCAGGGAGGCCCCTGGACCAGCCCAGATGGGGAGTGGCATCTAGAGGAGAAAACTGCAGGGCAGGCAGGTGCTGGAGAGGAACAGTGAAGGCTGGGAGGCAGATGAGGTCAGGCTAGGCACCGGCAAGCAGGCTGCAGTGAGTGCTGAGAGGAGAGAGAGATGCAAGGGCCTTGAAAGGCTGGTCAGGGAGTTTGGGCTTCATTCTGAGAACAAGCGGGTGCTATTCATTGCAGTAAGCAGAGGAGTGACATGATCAGACTTGCAATTTAGAAGGCTCTCTGGGGCTGGAGAGGGGACAGAGGAACACTGAAGGCAGCGTCCCACTAGGAGGCCAACGGGCCATCCAGATGAGCAGTAGTGGTGGCTGACTAAGGCCCTGGGAGGTCCTGTTCTCTTTGATCTCTTGACCAAACAGCACTTTCTACCGATCAGTATAGTGGGCCTCGCAGTCCCCAGCTACCTCTTGAATCATGGTGATGATGGTGTCAGCACAGTTCCAGGGCGGGCATATCGTCTGTGGCCATGCCCTGGGCACCCCTTGATCACTCCAGCTCCCACCAGCTCTGTGTGACTTTCTCCTCCCTCCACTGTTTGACTAGGCGCAACATGCATCAGATGACAGACGGGCTGGATAAGCCAGGTCAGATCCGCTGGCCACTGGCCATCACGCTGGCCATCGCCTGGATCCTTGTGTATTTCTGTATCTGGAAGGGTGTCGGCTGGACTGGAAAGGTAAGGGATATATGTGCACAGTGGGGACAGGAGGGCACTGGATAGAGGAACAGGTCTACAAAGGAAGCTCTGCCCACAACTCCCAGGAGTCCCATCTAACCCTGAGTTAAGCAGGTCCGTTCATCACTCGGTGTGTCAGTTTCTTTTACTGTAAAATGGGAATAACAACACTACCTTACCTTCTAGGGTGGTTATGAGGATGAAAGGAAATAGTGCGAGTCAGGCACGCAGCACAGTGGGAAGCTCACAGCGAGTCCCATAGGATTCCACTGGGCCCAACAGAGTCAACTCAAAAGAGAGGGCAAATGTTGCTCCTGGACTGTTGAACAAACTTTCCCAGAGCACCTGCTCTGCACCAAGCCTTGTGCTAGGTTCAGAAGCTCCAGAGATGACAGCTTCACATCCTGACCCTTGAGGAACAACAGAGATGAATAGGTTAATGGTTAAAGACTCAGGCTCTGTGTTAAGCAGTCCATGATTTCAGATCCCAACCTCACCATTTACTAGCTGTGAGCTCAGGCAAGTCATTTTGCCTCACAGATAAGTATAATCATGAGCCCCGTTTTACAGAGAAGGAAACTGAGTTCCTTCTCGGCTCATGATTATACTTATCTGTTGGTTTATTATGATAATCAGATGAGATGGTGATTTTGTCAAGCACTCAGCACCTAGCAAGGGGGGTTGTTATTGCTCTTGTTTTTATTGTCAGCAAGTGCAGAGCAAACGCCAAGCTGGGATGTCCAGCCCAGGGACACCCGGGAGGTGGAAAACTGGCCTTACTCCACCTCTTTTCCCTTTCAAGCCCTACCCCAGGAGCTTGGGGACAGAATATAGCAGAGTCTCTCACTGGCCTTGACCTGAAGGGAAGCCAGAGGGCAAGTGTGTTGTCTCAGATCTTATGGCAAGTCAAGGGCAGAGAAGAGATTTGTACTGAATAAGCTGGGAGGCGGGAAGGTCAGAACTACCCAAGAAGTGGATGCAAGGTTCTAGAAGCAGTAGCAGAAACGAACCAAGCAGAACCTTAACAAATTCCACACTTGGCAGAGCTGATGAAAAGCGGCCCTAGTTCCATCTGGTGGGAACTTCTGGACCCACTGGGTTCTCAAATCCAAGGCTGGTGTAAAAATCTCTCTGATCCATTCCTAGGATTAAGGATGCCAGAGGAGGGCACAAGTGTCTCCCAGTCTAACTTTCGGGGCAGAAAAGTATAGGGATTATGGGCTTTGGAAGGGTTTGAATCTCAGTCCCTGAGCTTCTAGCTGTGTGCACTTGAGCAAGCCATTCACCCCTCTGAGCCTCAGTCTCATCTGTTCAATGGTCACAACAACAGTACCTTACAGGGTTGTCACAAAGACCAAGGGAGATGAGTAGAATGCTTAGCATATGCCTTACACATAGTATTAATTATAATCATTTTGGAGTGGTAATTAGAGTTCCTGCTACATTAAGAGACTGGCCACTTCTTGGGGACAGAGAGTAGGACCCCCTCACTGCATATATTGAGGATGTCAACCAATCCATCCACAAGCATTTATTGAATACCTACTATGTGCCTGGCTTCACGCTGAACACAGAAGGCAGGGGAAGTATGAGACCGAGGCAACATATAATAAGCCTGCAGTATGTCCTCATGTGACTGACCTTTCTGAGCAGCAGGTGTGACTGTGCCTGTTTCCAGACAAGAGAAAGTGAAGCTAAGAGAAAATACGACATTGACCCTAAGTTACACAACTTGTGGGTGACACAGATGTGTTTGAATTCCCTTTTCCTAGCTCCAAGTACAATGGGTTTTCTCTTGGATTGTGGCTG